AGACCTGTCCAGGTTGTCCCCAGACCTCTCACACAGTGATTGCTGGACATAGGCACCAGTGGCCCCCGTGACCCAAAAAAAAAGAAGCGGGTAAAGATGGATGGATGGGCATCAATTAATATCCACCATGCAATGTTTGTGGTTGCTCTCAGGACAAGATGTCCTTCCACCGGCACAGCGTTCAGCTGGAGCAGCCAGGTCTGTATGTGGGCATCCTAAAACTGTGCAGCTCAGTAGATCAGATCCGGGTCCTGGTGCCTCAGAGGCTGCCCAACCTGCTCTGCCACACGCGGGTCCGACACAACGCCCATGTGACCAGGTAACAGTTTTATATATAAGCTAGACGAACCCAACGCTCCAGACTTATTGTAACGTTTGTTTTGTCGGCGGTGGGCAGAGAGGAGTGGACTTTGCTGCAGAGCCACGTTTACCCAGCACACAACAGCAGCGTTCACAACCAGCTGAGCGGCGAGGACGAGAGCTCCATGGAGAGCAGTGGTCTGGCAGAATTTGTCCAATCTCTGAGAACAGCCATCACACATCTCCTGACAAAGCTCAACATCCCCCTCTACAGGGTAAGCATGGCAAAAACCAGAGCAGGTTTCACCTCTGAGTCACATATTTGAGCAAAATTAACTTTAAGTCCTGATCTAGACCATGTCCAACGTTATAAATGAGATGTCTCTGCCTCTCTGGGGCTCTGGCAGGCGTATCAGTATGGTGTCTACACGCAGGAGCTGCTGCAGTTTGGTGAGAACGTATCCATGCTGCTGCTTCTGCCCCCCAGTGAGGACTTCAGCTCCAGTTTCGGGCCTCTGGTGGGAACCAAGGAGCCTGGCCTCACCATGCCTCTGCAGACATTTGAGCTGGGTGAGTGCAGAAATGTGACCTCACAACTGGACCACGCTAGTTTTTAAGACGGTAACAGCTTTTGTAAGCCTTGAGGTTAAACAGAGACACCAGATAAACCAACGCTCAGCCACCATAAAGGATGGCTTCTACTTCCATCTTAAAGTTTCTCATGAATAAAGTGCAGTGAAGATGCTCTGATGCAGTGGCTTGTCCTCTTTCCACTTTGCTTCAGTCCACTTCTGGACGTATGAGCGGGACTTCCTCAGCCAGTACTGCCAGGCCTGGGTGAGGCTGGAGCTGGACTCCCACCTGGCGCAGCAGGCTCAGCGTGAGGCTCTGGACCCCAAAGAGCTGCAGGAAGCTCGAGAGCACCTCAGAGACATCACTGAGCTTTTCCGTGTAAGTTTTTAATAACAGTGAGACAGTATCCCTCCATTATAGCAGTGGTTACATTCCACCCCCCCACCCGCAATAAGTGAAAAACAGCAAAGCAGAATCATTATATTTATTTTAGTATTTATATTTTAAGGCTTTATAAACCTTTCCCACACTCCTGCAATGTGCTCAACTCTTAAACCTACATCATTTTAACCATTTTAACAACATACATATACAGTATGTACTGTAATGTACTGCAAAATTTTATATGGGTGTTCACCAGCCTTAGTCTGGTTCTGGTCGGGTTCTGATCGGCTCTCTGCAGCCGTTGAGCACCAGATGCTTTTAGCGAGAGCCGGCACAAAACCACACAATGGTCCTGATCGAGTCCAAATGATCCAAAGGGATCCTGATGAAAAAACGTCCAGGTGAGCTCCAGAGAAAACACCAGACCTCCAAGTAACACCTCCCCGCTGGAGAGGCTTCATGGGCCAGCAAGCAGCACTCAGATGACCGATGAGGCTGGAAGTAGTTCTGGTCCAGTTCTGGTTCGGTTCTGCATCCACTGAGCGCTAAAGTTCGTCAGATTCGGATCGGATCAAAACTTTCCCTCCATTACAGCAGAAAGCAGCGTCTGGAAGCACTGTTGCCTTCTGGGTAATGTGGTTATTTTAGACTGGAGTTACAGTATAGACTTGTTGAAAGAAAACTACAAAATGGCGGCGCCTGTCCGAATAACTTTTTTCATTAACTTTTTATCCCGTACTATCCCAATCACGTGAGCAATATTAAAGTTGACAATCATTGAAAAACCGCGAAAGAGTGAGTCCACGAAAGTCGAACTGTGAAGTAGCGAGGAACTACTGTAAACCTAAAGGCCTAGCATTCCTTGATGGAAGGCTTATCACCTGCTGTCTTTTGAGTCAAAGATCGTACGTAAAGGACGAAGTTATGGCCGATTTGTCAGAATCTTGAAAATGATATTATGTGCAAGCTCATAAAATATAATCCAAAAGATAACCAGCGGAAGATGGACAGCTACTGGTTATTTCCTACAAATTTTATTCAAATCCATCTGGTAGTTCATGAGATATTTTGCTAACAGACAGACAGCATTGACTGCAATAGTTAAAGGCATAATTATATAAACAGGTTAGGTGTGATCAGTTAGCGCTTAGTTACTAAGTTAGGGATCAGTCTCAGATACTACCACTTAAAATTGTAGCTCAGTATTTATAAAAATAACAGTTACTGAAAATTTTGTTCAAAAAACATTATCACCCATTTGACTTTGGAGCAGGTCATAAAGAGAAAACAGGTCTCTTGTAAATGAGTCCCCGAGGCTCAATGAGACTAACATGTAGAAATAAAGGTTGAATGAATCCTGACTGTTTGAAATAATTATTTTAATCTAAAAGGGCCTTTAATCCCGACAGTTTGAACGTGTTATTTTGATTCTCTGTAATCTGAGGCTGAAACTCGCATCAGCTCCAGGGGAAAACAAAGCTCATTTTATTTTCTCATGATATTTTGGTTCTTACTGGCTGCTGCCTACCGTAGTCCCTCGTTTATCGCGGGGTATCTGTACCCTGAAGCCCCGCGCTAATTGAAAAACCACAAAGTAGTAATAATGTAGTAGTACAAGTACAAATTAGTAAGTAGTAGTTTATTTTAGTATATATATATATATATATATATATATATATATATATATATA